TGTTTTTGTCGGAAATGAAAAAAAGAAGCAGAAAAAGAGCGATAGTTGCGAAAGGAAGAGCTTAATGTTTATAAGGAGTCAATGTCACTTCTTGCAAATGCAATAGCAATGAGGTCTCAGCCTGTGCAACAACCATTCTACAATGTTCACCATGATGCTGTAAGTCAACAAACATATTACAAACTTTGATTTAATTCAAGAACATGAGTAATTTAGATATCATCAGCTTATTGTGTTATCAAAAACTAAGTTAAAGAATTTCTAATTTCTCTACACTTGCGTCTGTATTCTGTAAAACAAATTTTGAAATTTCATCATCAGGAATAAGTTCAACATAATCTGCAAAATTTTTGTCAGTTCTACTTTCACAAATATTGTGTACAACACAACATGCTGCAATTTTCATAGGCAAATGATCTAAATTTGTATAATTCTTGTTAAGTAGGCATCTGAATCTTTTTTTTAAACGGCCAAATGCACACTCCACGACTTGCCTTGCTCGACTTATGTAGTAATTAAATTTCTTTTAAGCAGGACTGAGATTGCCATTGTTAGGAGGCCTCTTCATGAACCATGGTAACAGTGGATATGCTGGATCACCAATAAGCATGAATGGTACATTGCAGTCACATATCTCTTTTCCTCCCTAGAGTATATCAAGACCATTAATTTCCTAGTGGCTATTATTAAAAATGCAGTAAAATTTGCCTCTGACCTAAGATAAGCTTTTTATTATAAGAAATGAAAACTTACATTTGGAAAAAGTTTTCCTGCTTCAGCTTTTGAAAACATTCACGAGTTTGACAAAACTCTTGCATCATGGACTTGACCTGGCCACTTTATGCAAATGTCAGTGAATCTTCAAAATTTTTTAAATATAAATTTTTTACCTTTTAAGTGTGTGTAATTTAATTCACTTTGTGTAACTTACTCACTCAACTAGTTGAAACACATGTCTAAATTAATAAAAAACCTATTTTACATCAGTCACTGTTAAACTCCACCATGGGATCTAAAAATTGTTAGAAGGTGAAAAATGTCAGTTTAATAACAGGGTGGCAAAAACTTACTAAGTCAACCTTGACAAAAGCAGTACGTTTTGGTACCTGTATTGATGATCTACAACAGCTTGGAGAACAATAGACTAGAATCCTTTTCGATTGTAGTAATCTTGTGCAGAATTTGAAGGTGCTACAATTTGAATATGAGTGCCATCAATGGCTCCAGCGCATTGAGGGAAGCCCCATGTCGGTAGAAAGGCATCAGCGATAATCTGCAGTCTATCGCCCGTTGGCCATTTGATAACAAGACACAGTAACGCGTCAACAATAGCTTGGCAAACCTCGTTATCGATTTCACAGGCTGTACTTTTCCCTATACCAAAACGCCAAGCTAAAGAACGCAAATCTTCATTGGTAGCCAAATGCCAAAGACAAATTCCTACTCTTTTTGGCACAGGGATAGCCTTTCTGAAAGTTGTATGTTCTCGCAATAAAGTGTCATTGATCTTGTCGAAAATGAAATCGAATGTTCCCTTAGACATACGAAAATTTTCTAGCCACAACCCATCATCTTTCTACATATCGATAGTTTTTTCCCAGAACAAACCGGTGCCTTTGCTTGCATCCACCCAGAAACGTCTTTCACGCATTAATTTATTTCCTAGAGCGTTATTAAACCAAAAATAAAACTGGTCGTCCCTTCTTTTACTTCGCTGTTTTCACAGTTTCAAAATATATTTCTTTTTCCTTTCACGACGCATTCGCATCCTTTTGTGGTATTCATATGTAATATTGAAAATGGTTGCGATCGCACTTGCAGCTAAATCTAGAGATCGGAGCACAGACGCCACATTGGGATTGCAATAATACAAATATTACACTTTGTTGTCAAGGAAACTAGCTCAGCTTACGTGTAGCGTCAGTTAAGTGTGAACGCTCACAAATTTGAGCTTGGCAATTCACAGGATCGATTTTCATCCCGCCTACCTATGATCTCAGCAAAGAACAAGATCATAGATAAATGAGATGTCTCGCTAACCGGGCGCATATGAACAGGCCCTAATTCAAGGCAGCTAGTTACGTCGATCAAATGAAAATAATTTAATAATTTTCCTCAAGATAGTCGTTGGAGGTCCGTTAAATCTGTGTAATATACTTGTACACGCCATAAGTTGCCTCTCGTTCTGAAATGTGCAAAGATGTTAAGTAATATTATCGATTCTTCATCGATGTAATAGTAAATATCTCAAGGTTTGTTAGGCACACCTAAAGATGTAAAATGTTAATGCATATTTATTTTTAACGTTGAAAATTTAAATGCCACGTCAATAAAATTTTATTCAACCAAAAGCAATCTGTAGCTACTGACCTCGACACAAAAAGGGAGAAAAAGTCATACGATAGGGAGATTAATGTTTGTGAGTGATTTTGATATTTTATCTTGATCATAAGTTGACAAATTTTACTAACTACAATGAGATACTTAAGAGCAAAAATATTCTTTTTTTAGTTAATTAATTCATCATATATGAAACGTGCAGCTGCTTGAACAAGGTTATATTTCTCAGTTTTCCCATTGTTGTTAAATTTTCGTGTATAATTTTCACACGTATATGAAAATTAAATTGCATGGATACATACAGTTGGACATTGATTTGTTTATTATTCTTAAAAAATCACATATTTTGCATTGGTAAAGACTAAGTGGCTAAAATAAACATTGTGTATGAACCCTACTTAATTCAAAAAACTTTTATATAAATACGAAGGGTTCCCTCTAAGCATTATGACCAAGAAAATAAACAGAAGAGACAATATTTCCAAGTAATTCTAAATTTCAAATGCATCTCTTGTGTGACACGCACGCATTTATTGTAAAATTTCAATAGAATTAGAACTCACTGAAAGGCGATACTGAAGAAAAGAAGCTAACTTTGATCCCAATGAAACTCATGGAATGCAAAATATATGGCTTTGACAGTAATGTATGCCTATGACACCACAACAATGTATGTCTTTGACACCACAAAATGGCTATGACAACATGCAATGACATGGCTATGACAACATGGCTATGACTCCACAACAATAAATATAATGTTTTGCAAGCTAAGCAGTTGTCTGTAAACTATTGCACGACTGTAAACGAAAGCTTTATAGCAGATAATCAAATAAAAGATAGTAAGAGAAAAAAATTGTCAAATTTCAAACTAAATAAATTCTAATACCGACGAATCTCTTCATTAAAGCTATCGAATGTATAAAGCTTGGTTTGCATGCATGTCACAAAAATTTATACATTTTAAAATGAGTTTCTTTTGGAAATGTGTTAATGTGTATGAATGTCGAAATAACATCTATTCTTTATCGATGTATTAGTAAATATGTCAGCGTTTGTTGGACACACCTAAAGATCCAAAATGTTGATCTTTATTTGAATTTAACTGCCACGTCTATGGCGCGCCAAGATGGACAATATTACCAAAATCGAAAATATTTACAACGAAACACATTATCGTACGTCAAAATAATATACTGGCAACTTTTTCAATATTTGTAAAACGAAACGCAAAAATATAAAAGAAAACAAAAATTCGTTTACCATAATTTATATGTACACAACGAAATTTATTTTTCAAGTTATGAAAATTATTTTTATAAAACAAAACTCGTTTATATAAAACGAAATTGACATTCTTAAAACGACATTTTCTTCGAACAAACGACATTTTTTACCTCTTTTTGCGGCTCCTTTACCAATTTTCTGGCAGCTCTCTGAAAGCAGCTTTGAGAGAGCTGAGTGATTGCTGCAACAAGGTTTGTCAAGTTATGTAAGTTCCTTCGCGAAGACATGCTCAAAATTTTGTAGTGGATGGCTCTTTGCAGGCTACGAAATAATGGCCGCAAAAAAGCGGTAAAAATGTCGTTTGTTCGAAGAAAATGTCGTTTTATGAATGTCAATTTCGTTTTATATAAACGAGTTTTGTTTTATAAGAATAATTTTCATAACTTGAAAAATAAATTTCGTTGTGTACATATAAATTATGGTAAACGAATTCTTCTTTTCTTTTATATTTTTGCGTTTCGTTTTACAAATATTGGAAAAGTTGCCAGTATATTATTTTCGACATACGACAATGTGTTTCGTTGTAAATACTTTCGATTTTGGTAATATTGCCATCTCGGCGCGCCATACACGTCAAACAAATTTAATCAACCAAAAGCAATTCGTGCCGACATTTATACAATGAGAAAAACAAGTACTCGTAAAAGATAAAAAACTGATGTCTATGTTTGGCTTTATGATTTCTTATAACTGTTAACTTCTAATGGAATAGTTGCGTTTATTGAAGAAAGAAAGTTCGTTTAGATAAGTGACAATATATATAACTTGGCGGTGGAAGATACAATAATAACTATGATGATATAATCGTTCGATATACGTTTTCGATCACGTGATATTTACATGTTACAACAATAACAATGTTTATTCTTGAATATACTATAATATATCAATATGTCGACAATTACCAACTTAAAATTTTAAAAAGTTAATAATTGTTACAAAAAACAATGCGATTCTCAAAACAATAATTTCTTTTTAACATAATTAATTCATCGTGTATAGATAATAAAATGTGGCGCTCCTGAAACAATGACAATTAATTTTTTTTAATTGTTTCATCAAATATTTTCTGAATATTTCAATATTAGTTAGCATGTACATGCATTTAAAGATTGATTCATGATTTTTTAACAATTCTTAGAGAGTCACAAACTTTGTATTTTGCCAAGATAAAGTAGCTAAGTCACTGCGTGAACCAAATCATGCAAAATTTTCGTACTTCAAGAAATAGAAAATGAACTCGTGCAATTGAATAAATAAACCCTATACAAATATACGAAGGCTTCCGTTTAAGCAATGTGCTTAAGAACGCAAAGATTGAAGCACTTTCAATTTCCTGCATTTTAAATTTATAAATTCATTTCTTGTTTGAGACGCTTGCACTTCTTGCAGAAATCGAATAAGAGCAGAGCTCCCTGGAAAAAGTTCCTTAAGAAAACTGCAGATAAATTAAAACAAGTACGTGCATTTATCAATTGTATTTATCAAATTTATATTACATTTTTATTGAAATGTGCTCGTATGTAAATATTTTGCTATTTTAAATTGGCGCTTTTCTTTAAGAAGTTACTCTCTTTAAAGTTTGGTAAGCCTGTTCTTTGTTGCAGTATGAACTCTTACGCAATGCAGGTGCTTATATGCAATATATTACAGATACACATTACTTTTAAAAGCCTGAGAGATGACATGTAAAGCGTAAAAAGACAAAATACGGAAGTGGATCGTACTGATCCCCCATCAAACTATCGTTATACAAAATATTTACACAAAATGTTTACGACAGTAGTTTTGAGCCAATTACATCAACTATAAAAAAGAGAAAAACTTAAGATTCATGATATGAAAGAAGAGATGCAGATTATTTCTTTTTATTATATGACAAGCGCCACTTCTTCAAAATGGCGCGCTTTGATTGAATCCGGTGCATTATTCTCCAGTAATCGGTCACGATCCGAAATGCGTAACTTTACACTCAAGTATAAACAAACTTCGTAAAGCAAACAGCAAAACGCAAGAAAAAACATAAAGAAGAAAAATTTATAAGCTTTTGCTACCCATGCAACTGCTCTCATCTGTCCATTTTCTCAAACTAAGAAAACAATTAGGCTAAATGATTACCTTCGAATGACTACTACATCTTTTCATAATATAGTCAAGAAAACCATTGATATGTATGTAATGGGGCATTACGTATCCAAGTATAAATTGAGAGCAGAACGTAAATGTCATCGGTACCTATTCGTAAAACAAAGACACAAAGTTACTCTTTTTTGTTTTTATCCTTTTACATTTTTTATTACGCATTGACTATTGAAACAATCAGGAGAAAATCAGGTTTTATAAGAAGAATTTTAAAATTGTACTTTAATATAGTTATGTGATTTTAATCTCTATTGACTCATTTATATCCTGGTAATTTTATAAACGTTGTCATTTTCTCATATAATAACAGAAAATTAATTTCTTTCTACGATTCTTTAACAAATGATCACATAAAAATTTTGTTGTAGCTAATTAAATGAATCTTGTTGGCCATGCGGACACATGAACATTTTAATTTGGATACGAGAAGGCAATTTAACATTTAAAAGCTAAATCACAAGTGTTGTGATCTTTTTAAAATATTTATGGCCATTCCTCGCTCTACACAGCTCTATATAACAACTAGCTATAAGTCTAAAATTGCAAAATCTACAGATATTTATACTCTTTTTTAAATTCAATTATTCGTAATATTTTTCTGTATGTAATCTAATGTGTCCCATTTGGTTTTACTTCAAAAGCTAATTACAATAAATAGTTGTATCATACTTGAATTGTTTCTTACGACAATTAACCAGGGTTACCCACAAAATTTTGCTCGCATGTAAAGGTTTTTTTGGATGTCGTATAAAAGTCGAATATTGCATATATTTATATGTATAATTCATTCACAAATATAACTATGAAAACTTTTGATATATAAAAAAGAAGCAAATTTATAGATTTTTCTTTGATTAGAATCAACCATGTAAAGCAAAAAGCACTTCATTTTCTATTTGAAGATTATTTTAATTTTTATTGTCATTTTGACATCAAGCTGTACATTTAAATTATATATTTTTTTGCCTTCAAGACAATAAAGTTTTTAATTAAATTTTTAGATTTTCTACTGATATTAGTAACAAATAAACTCTTCAAAGCAACCTTTTGTATTTTTTTTTGACGTATAAAATTGAAGATTGAACGATTTATTTAAGTCCTTACTGAAAACAGACAACTAGATTAAACAAAAATTTGGCAAGAAATGTATTATTACTTATAGTTATCTCACCAAGCAACAACATAATTGAGGCACACATATTGGCATGCCGTTTTAAACCTATTCTCTTACTTAAGTTCTATAAAATTTGAGAATTGAGCAATAATTCTAAAACGAGATGAAACGAAAAAACGGCGACTAACCTCTCACGAAAACAAAACAAAAGCGTTCACATTAAGATAATTAACAAAAAGATTACTTGTGCAATTGCTACAAAATATGTATATTTGCACATACTCTTTATTCGTTCTCTCATATGCATATGTGTAAATCAGTAAACCAAATAACCACATATTTGCAATTATGTAGATTTTTGCCTCATTTTCATCTTTCGACACCACGAACTATAACAAAGATGACAAATTTTAGTTTTGGATTTTCGCTCCTACTTGTAGTTATCTATGGATCTATACAAATGTAAGTTTCGTGTGCTCGTGTTTGTTTGATTCATGTTTTTCGTCAGATTTTATGTTGATTGAATATAATAAGTTTTTGCTTGTGTTTTTAACTCTTTTAGCTGTTCATTTAATCCCATCTTGACACTTGACACCCCCCTTTCTCATATATATTATTTTCCTCGCAAAATCTATGCATTTTTTACACGGCATATATCTTTTTTTCTAGAAAGACACTATCATCTTTGGTAACTGTCTCCACTAAAATCCTCTTTTCTTATCATTACATAGAGTGGCGTAACCAGCCCGCAAGTTTTGGTTCTGCTATGTAAATTTTAGATTATTAACATTATTCATTTCTTTAGAAATCTGTTCGTTTTTGCAGTGAGTGATTACAGAAAAATTAACATAGCAGGACCAAATTTGCAGGCTGACTGTTCTGTTCAGGTGCCATGCATGATGCATGCTTGGGCTACCATGTCTCTCCAACGTTGACGGTTACGAGCACAGGCAAAGATTTCTGCAGTGTTGGCGATTCCGGTAACTTTCTTAACTCTGTCCAAATACGTTATGCGTTGACGGCCTCGTGCTCTTTTCCTTCGATTTTCCTTGCAGCGCAACACATTCCAGGCCTTCCTTCCGAACTACGTGGCCAAGAAAACGAAGTTGTCTCTCGATTATTACGGAGTAGTTCTCTCTTCACACCGGCTCTTCTCATAACCTCTTCATTTGAGACGTGATCAATAAATGACACTTTCAACATCCTTCTCAAAACCACATTTCTGCTGCTTCTAAGTTTTCTCCAGGTCAGCAGTTAGAGTCCAGGCTTCACAGCCGTAAGTCAAGATTGACCAAATGTAGCATTTGAGTAATCGTATTTTGAGTGGCATTGATAAGTTTCGGTTGACAAAGATGGATCGCAAGTCTTGAAATTTCAATTTTGCAACAGCAATTCTCTTCTTCACTTCCTTTTTGCATCTCACATCGGTCGTCAGCAGACTTCCAAGGTAGTTGAAGGTTTCCTTCTCCTCAATATGGTCGTTGCCAATTCTCAAGTAACAGTGGGGCTTTTCTGCAAGTTTGCTGACTACCATCGATTTGGTTTTATCACAATTGATAGTCAGGGCAGGCTGACTACGTCATTGATTACATGTGCAAACATTGCTGCCCATCCTTTTTTAATTTTCAACCAGTCCTTATGAATTTTGCTTCGATTTGCACGTTCTAATTACTGTTTCTGTCTTTCTAGTGACTCTAAGTGCTCACTTGACTATTCTCAGCTCGGCTACTTCCAGTCGACCCTTTTTTCAACTTCTACTGTTATAGTTTCCACACCATAGATTATCGCCGATCTGATAACACTCTTATAAATCTCTTCCTTTAATTTAGCCGATAGTTTCTTATTTCACAGCACACACTTAGAACAGCTTCACACAGCTATAGGTCCATTCTCTCAAAAAACTTCACGATAAACGGTCTTTAACATTTCTCCTCACAGTTCCATAGCTCCCCAAGATCTCATTTCTTCTGTTCATTTTTCCAACATGCCATTTCAAATCAGCTTAGATCACAATTCTTTCCACCTTAAGTATCTTTTTATATGTATCATCTAGGACCTGTCAGAATCTTTTTTTCTTTTTGCCACTCATTTATTCAGCTGTACATACGCTCTATTTATATCAACCACTATTCTACTTTTCTCAATCCTTAGACATAACAAACTATCTGTTATTCTTCAAAATTCCCAACTACGTCCAGTAAATGATTTTTGTACCCATGCTCGTCGTTGTTTTTTCAGCATTATTGTGCCCCATTTTTTTGTAGCTTTATCCTAAGTTTCTTGATTTTGCTTTCTTAAATCTTGTTTCCTTAACACAAGAAACCTTAAATGACATTTCTCCAGCATATATATCACCTCTCTTTTTTCTCCAACATATTACCTATTGTGCGTTCACTCTCGAAGATTTGTTTTTCACTTCTCTTTTCAAATTTCTGTCTGTTTTTTTTTCATTTGGCATTTTACTTCTTCTTCTTGACGTAAGTTTCAAATTAGCATGTCCACCAGCAATTTTCAATTTGAAGGCAATGATAACGGACATCATTATCTTGTGATCCTATTGGGTCAGGAAGTTTGACTTTTTGTAGCTCCGAAAGATGCCTTTCCTGTCGCAATTTCTTTCAATTGCGTTCAATGACACGCAGATTGTTATAATAACTCATCCACCAGGCATTGGTTGTTGCTCATATGACACAAACTCTAAAGCGCGGGCCACACTATTGTCGAAATGCAACGAATTTCGTGACGAGTCGCTCGTCAACGAGAAAATATGACGATATGGACGAATTCGTCGCCGTTGAGCATGCACACCGAACTCGTCAACGAGTGACGAGTAATTGTTGCATATCTACTCTGATTGGACAAAAACATCACATGACTAATGTTTGCTTTCACTGTGCTGTGGCAAAATGGCGGATTGGTAAGAAATATTAATTGAGCTAGTGAGAGAGAGGCGATGTTTGTGGGACAAATTTCATCCTGACTATAAAGATACTGGCAATATAAAGAAAAATAATTGGAAGGATGTCGCTCGGGAACTGAAAGTTGCGACCAATTGAGCTTGACAAAGCTCTTGCAACAACGTGTCATACAAGCCCTTCTCTTCTTGCCTTTTATTTATGGGATGTACCCAGAACCTTCTTTTTGTATGTACGTCGTTTTGCAGAAATTAGAAGCAGTAGAATTTTTCTCTTCAATAATAGAAGTTTTTTTTTGCGCTGATAATCGTCCATGCTTGTACGGAAAATCGTTACAATGTGGCACATGTACTCGTCACGACGGCTCGTTGACGAGAGACTCGTCACGAAATTCGTTGCATTTCGACGATAGTGTGGCCCGCGCTTAAGACAGTCATTTAAGAGTCATTTGCGTCAGAAAAAATTCCATTCAAATTTCAATAATTAATGATATCTTTTCAAGTTTAATTAATAGTTTGAAAAATGATATTTTTATCACCAGGAGTCATTCTTTGTGCTGTGATAAAATCAAAAAATTGGTTGATTCAAAAATGGATGCATATCAAGTACTGTGTAAGAAAAATACGTCACTTAATCCTAATTGCTGTGATGACATCAAAACAAAAGTTGAATTATATGAAAGGGCGTATGCATCATTATGCTTAAACAGAACTGACGGTACGTAGACAGAAAAATATTTCTACTTATTTCTGCTTGTAATTAATTTTAAAATAGATTGTGCTTTAATATTTAACATTTGGTTGATTACATCTTGTCTCAAGCTAGCTTGCGCTTCACATAAAATACAGTTGTATTCATTAAAGTGCATATAAACCTTACAGGATTTTAGTATTGTTTAAAAGAACAGCTAGTGAAATTAACAAATTCAAAAAAGTAAATTGATTTACATTAAACCTGTCTTGGGGAATTGCTGTCAAAACTCCAAATTTACAATATACATTTTTCACTAAGGGAACTGGTATATAGTTCATGTCGTGACGTCATGTACGGAGCACTGTTCGCCTGACTTCATTTCTTCTAAGCATTCGTCCCATGGGTGAAAAGGGGAGCCCGAGCAGCACTTTCCCTCGCGATAGCAACTCTTACTGTAATAATATTGTCTTAAAATTTGAGTTTCCAATTAAGTGATAGGAAACTACAAAAAAAACAAACTTTAAAAACCTTGCCTCTGTATGTAGAGCCATATTTGTCGTAACCTCCTTGTGCACCGACAGCAGTAATTTCATAAGTTCCAGTGTAAGGCACTGTCCAATACTGGATACCTTTTGATACGGTTACCATATTTTCGTGATCCTGACCATTGTAAAATTGACCAATTGATGTTGGACCATGGCGACCAGTGGCTCCAAGATTTGTAATCTTGCATTGAATTGACGGAACTCAACTATATTACAATACAACTATTGAATTGAATCATTTAAATTGCATATAAACCTTGCGTGTTTTTACACTATTCAATATACGTGGTATCAAAGACCATATTCCGAAATTTTTCTGTAATCAGACAAATAGTTTGCGCTGTAAACTCCGTCAAATTTGCAAAAATATACCATTTTAAGCGCTCGGTTTTACCGCTATGGGACTGGGCCTGACGTCTTGTAAGTAACACGGGATTGAACTGTCGTTAGAGATATATGAAAAGTATAGCAAGATGTTGTCATATAAGGCCTACCTAGTCGACTATAACCGACAGGTTTAACGTTTTCTGCCCATAGGGCAAAAGCTTTCCCTCATTCCTTTTAATGGTCCGCCAATTCTGTTGAAATAAGTGGCTCAACTTTGTTGCGCTAAAGCGAGTAAAATGTCCAATATCAGCTATGTGTAGTATTTGCATTTTACATTTAAGACCAAGAACTTGACTAGGCGGTATATATTAATTTGCAAGAGAAGCAAACTTGTGTAGAATATTTCTTCCCAGTCATTGCTGGCCCAATCTTCTCCTATGTATAAGGGTCACAAAAAGCGCCTGTTTGTATGAGAGCCGGGATGGATTGACTCCCAAAACGGGAGATGAATGAGACCTCGGATTTCATATATTTTCTATATGTAATTGTCATTTGTTTGTATGGAGCTGGGATGTTTTTTGTCTCGCGCCGGTTAGTCTGGATCGATTTTTTATAACCATGATCTTGGTCAACACGGGACTTTGTTTTTTGGTTATATAAATGCTTAAATTTTTCAATATCCAGATACGAAACTTGTCAAATTATTAGGATATAAATAATTGTAGCTACATTTTAATCAATTTCTTTTATTGCAGTCTGCAAGAATCCAAAGCCACTAGGAATGGAAAATGGTAACATACCAGATAGGGCCATAACTGCGTCATCAGTGTACAGTGATAAGTATCTAGCGCCATTTGCTCGATTGAGAAGAAGCTCATCAAAGTGTTCTTGGGCTCCAGCTGCAAGAAACAGAATGAACTCTTGGCATCAAGTTGATTTTGGTAAAGTTAAAATAATAACTGGGGTAGCTACTCAAGGATCTTGCATTGGGATCGGATTTCAGAAGACCTATACTTTTTCATACAGTAATGATGGAAAAAATTGGTCACCTTACAAAGAAAATGGATCAATAAAGGTATAAAATCGAGTGAAATGATAGGCAAAGAGAGTATGCCGATACCTACCAAATATCAAGAGCAGCCTTTAGACACTTCATTAGCATGGTGGAAAGCCGTCCACGCGCATTGGCTACCCACAAAAACGAGATCTTCAGAATTGTAATTTCTTAAAACTCATGTTCTATAAAATTACAAAGTTAGGATTAAATCTTATCTATCATTTACATAGCCTGGTACACAAACGATAACAACAATTAAGGTTCAGAGATCATTCATATCTGATCTTGCCTTATACCAGCATAATTTAGCACGAATATGCGCATAATTACGCTCACGTAAAAAAAAATGCTTGTTATTCTAAAAGGAAGAATGAAGAACAACAGCATCGTGTATTAATTGCATTTCAAATCAATGTGATGCACTGCAGGCAAATAGAAAGCAAAATTATCAACGTTATATGGAGGACAACTTTTGATGTACGTGAATTGTTTCATGGTGTATCTATTTTTGCCGGTCCTCCTGTTCTTTAATCTTAATACAAATATATACTTTATGTTGTATAATATATGTTGCATACACTAGCTACATGGTAATTCAATTATTTTACAATTTCAAAAATTCTTTGGAATTTTCCTTTTCGCCATGCTGATATTATATTCAATGAAAATTTATAAAATGTGACCAATGATAATTTGTTGGCGAAAACTCGACTGTTGTTTTGGTTTTATTAAACATAATAGTAACGTGTGCTCTCGAACGAATCTCCAACAACTATTGAATGAGATTGAGTATGATATGAAGAATTGTTAAAGCCAAGGTTTCTTTTACCTGCCGATGCAAACTCTATTGGAGTAGGGAAAACGCTAAAAATTCAAGTTGTTATCCAAATTGCTTGAAATTTTGATAAACTAGGCTAAATGGCTTATATTTTCAAGAAGGAAAAATAAAATTTATTTCTGATTTTCTTTATTTTCGTGCGGGAGGCCTGTTTTGTTTGTTCCACTCGTGGCTTGTTTTGGAAAATTTTAGTCTTTCTGTATAATAAAAAATTTATTAATGCACTGCTATTGTTTTAGTTATTTAGCACGTGTAAATTTTGTGGCATAGTAATGATAGGATCACATTTCAAGAAGATTATCACATGTTGTAGCTAAGATTTTTAATTCTGGGTCTACCTTTAAAATTTTTTTGTATGTTTTATAGATCTTTCAGGCTAACAGCAATACAACAGGCATTGTCAAGAATTACCTTTCAACTCCAATAAAGAGTCGCTTCATCCGTCTTCATAGTAATACTTATTATTCTTATCCAACCCTCAGAGTTGAGTACTATGGCTGCTAGTAATTCTAAAAATGATAATTGTGTACTTTAACGACATTTTCTTTTCTTGTTTTTTCAATTGTAAAAACATGCTGGGCATATTTTTGTAATAAATGGTGGTTGTGAAAACATCTTATTGCGGTTTTTAATTACCATTTCAGCAAAATTACTTTATAGGATATGCTATAAGCTCTGTTAATATGACACCGCCATAGGAAGAAATTATTCTGGAGTTGTCACTTTCAAGTGATTTCGATGGATAACGCTCATCAATAACGTTTTTTAACATTTTCATCCCATCTTTCATAAAATTGATAAAACTAATAATTTTCTTCGTGCATGAGAATCTAGTTTTTCATTAATATTTTGCAACTTAATAACTATCATATTAAAAGTTTTTGAGAGTTTACATTGTCCTTTTTCAAGTATGCTGCCAACGATGAACGAGTTTTGTTCACAATGATTCCAAATGTGAATTTCAATGCTGTTATCAACACGTCTTCCATGAAGACAATTTAGTTTTCTTGGATGTAGTCTCTACAAATAATAGCAACTTCTTAATGTTAGAAAACTCTGCAGGTTAAGCAGAAATTTTCAACACAAACACGAGTCAAGTGTCCCCCATTGAGCAACTAAATAGCATCAGAAGTAGAGCAACCCATCAATTCATCAAAGAAAGCATGTAAGGGTTTTGCATGTCACGTGGTAAAAATGTAAACATTGCTGGTGCTTTCACAGCTCTGTTATATATTTTTATACAACGTCTTGTGTTTTGACGTAAAAAATTTTAAGGTTTATTGTTTTCAATAAACATCCCTTTTTCATAATGGGGGAAATGGGTGGAGCAAAGACTCCAGTTGTTAAGACTGAGAAAGTGAAACGATGATTACATTATAATATTAGAATCTCCTAACTTAACTGTCATATTCATATGTAGCCATTACTTTGTACTCAATAATACCCACATAAAACAATGATACTGTTCTTCAGACTAAGCATGTTCTTATAAAAATGCAACAAACGATACTCTGTAAAAGGAAACTTTGAGGTCTGAGGTTATTGACTATTACTGAATAAAATTTTTTTCAAAATTAATGTTTCTGAAAACAAGTTTAATTTTCCAAATCAAATGAAGTAGTTTTTCGTCTTTAGTTCTTTGGACCCAAATAAACCTTATAGTTAGAGAAGTTGTTGTACATTTGTTTTTTCAAAAATTCAATAACCTCTTTATTAAATTATTTACTACGATAGTACAAATTAGATGGCTGAAATGATAGTTTATGGTCTTGAAAATCATTTGCTTGTATCTGCAGGAACCATCACTAGCAAATGTCACCCATTCTTCATATTGTCTGTCACTGGTCATATATTATCGAAGTTGTAGTAGTTACTTTAATTTTGGAATTAATTCTAATTTTATTTATTGCTCAAAATCCAATATATGAGTATATAAATATGAGCTCTCCCACATTCAAAATATCATTAAAAATAAAAGAATAAAATGCGTGCAGTGATTAATATATGGCGATGTTTCGAAAAATCGAATAGCAACCGGTATTAAATACGGGTGGGAAATTTGTTATTTAGGTAAAAGCTGTATTATTCAATCAAATTTTTTCACTTACAACGCTAATAGGAAATAAAAAGGAGAAAAGGATGGCTCACTAAATTACTTATTCACTGAAGTATTAAAAACACAATTGTGTATTCATTGCCTTGAATCATAAACACTATTGTAATTCAAGTGTATAAATAATTATTAACATTTTCGCCAATTTCATAAATCAATACGAGAAAATCAAATATACTAAAACGTTATAAGTATTACATGCAGTTCAGAAGACTATGAAATCTCAGAGGCTGTTGTGATTTGTACACTATATATTTTTTTGTTATTCATTTATGAATGATGAACGACATATGCATTATGCATGCACAAGTAGAACAAGAATATATCATTAGATTTCTTCATCTTTTTATAACATAAACTTATAACCATTTAATCATGCAGTTTAATCATCAGGAACTAGTTTTTTCCACTTTTTTTACAAAGCAAGAGGTTAGACAAGTTCATATACTTTTATAGAGTGTAAGAGATTGAGTCAATACTAATTAACATAAAGACGAATTTCTTCTAAGAAATTCAAGTTACAAAGACATATCCGTCTCCTTTGTTGTTAAATGCTGACTTGTTTACTTGATTTTTTCCCACATTTTACGATCCACTTCTACCACAATAAGATCCATTCACAATATCCCCGCTGCTCCACCTGACTAACCACCTCTACCACCTGGTCCTCCATCATTACCATATGCTCCACCACAACCTCCAAATCCACCAACATCATTGTTATACCAGGCACATCCTCCTGCTCTTCCGTTTATAAAGGCTAATCCTCCCTCTCCTCCATCTCCATACTTTCCACCAAACTGCTTACTACTTCTTCCATTGCTGTAAAATCTACCTCCCCCACCTCCTACATAAACATGAAATTAATAGTGTAAGTTTCACTTTGTTTTGCCGTCAATTTATTGTCCAGATTTCATAAAATAAAAGCACTTCTCGTGTTTGTCATTGATTGACGAAAAAATTACCATACAAACCATTGAACTAAAATGCATGGAACGCTTCCTGAAATACAAATCTTAATAAGTTTTTGAAGCCGTGATTTTACCCCAGACATGCGAGATTTTACCGAAACATATAGTCATTAATTATTACTCCGCGAGAGAATCTCGAAACACTACACATGCGTGTCTGTGGTGAAATATGGCGTGTCTGATGTACGATTTGCCTTCAATTATTTGCTTAAATGGCGTTCAATGTATTTTAATTCAACGATACAAGCAAATATTGTAAAATCTTATATTATACCTGAATTTCCTGAATCTACCTGCTTTCTTCCTTGTCCATTTATCTATTTGTTATCTAGTTCTTACGTCAACGTATATTGTGTATAGGAAATGTGTGTGTGGTGCGGGGCTTAGTGAACAGCTAAAGTACAGTGGTTTGAGACCAATTATTAATTAATGTACTCATTATTAGAAATGGGTACTAGTTCCCATTTTGGTTAAAAAAAAATAAATATCATTGACGCCTTTTGATTAAAATAAATAATATTGACAGTCAAAAAACTTTAATGATATAGTCAATAAATGCTTTTCCATTAAAAGTAAGATGGAATTTTTTCTCAATTTTTTGCAATGTGCATCCCTTCATAATCTCCTGTTGACCATTGCCCACAAGGATGTGCATCCACCACCCGCCCCTCCCATACCATGTTTACGACTAAAATTTGCTTCTGCAATGACATGTAGTAGTAAAGTTGATTGTTTAGGTTTGGGTTTTTAAATGTTTGAAAAAGTTGGTTTTTTGAACTTTCTTATAGCTTACTTCTTATTAAGAGTTTTTGTTTTTGCTACCTTTCAAGATGGCATCCTTGCCTAATATTTACACTGTATGAAAATATCCATGGGATTGGGTTCTAAATCATCGATTTCATCAACAACCAGATGTATAATGTATTTATGCCATAGGCATAGTAAAAAAAACTCTCAAAAAATGTTTTGATAGTTAACATGTGTGTACGCATAGCGTACCCATTTTGACCTTTTACTTGTACTTAAAGTGTCCATAAAACTGAAGTAATATATTATATCCTATTTCTGTCGTCATGACGCGAGAAAATTTTCAAATGGATTGCTATTTGTGTGATTTGTCAACTCAGTACTTTGGAGAACCGGAAGCGGTTGCTCTTACCCATTTCGATAAGACAAAAGTAAGAACTTTGCTTTATGCCTTGAAGGTTTTGTATTGTATTCTCGCGCGTTTATCTCACTTGGGAATTCATGGACTAAATGAATCTGAAATGTTCTGTACGTGATTATGTATGCAAATTTTATTAATTGAAACATTACTGAAGCAATCGTGAATTTGCGGTCACGGAAACTTCACCAGATTATCTATTCAATGGCCTTGATTCTTCTGTCAAGACAAATCGAACGTTAAAGTCGTCTGGACTGTTAGCTCGTTTTATGATCGTCTTTATTGTTCAGGAACTGGTTATATAAAGCTTTTAACTACTTTTTAACTACACTTTTTGCAGTTAAAAAATAGTTTCAAACACATTTCTTTCAAGCATTTTACTCAGCTGTTATAAAGAGAAACAAAATGACGTTTTCCTTTGTTACCCTTAATCTCCCAGTTTTAAATTCTGTAAAAGCAAGGCCATTTAAATATTTAAATCCTTGCACATAGAACACAATATGAATCAATTTGAGAAGAGTTCATTGTTTCGTTTCCCAAAGTCCATTATATACAATTGGTACATGAAATAAAGCAGTCCTTGCCGAGACGCATTTCATGTACGCATTTCATTTCAACTTTTGGAGATGAATAATATAACGCAAATATTTATGTATATTTTTTAGCATATCTAGTTCGGTAATATCAATGCTATGGTATGACTTGCAAAATTAACTGCAAGCGATCTTCGGTCGTCTTTGATCTTCCTGCCATTCTATAGTTCCAGATGACCTAATAAGTCAACTACTACGCAAGCGATTTGAGTCAGCTGGATTGTGTTATCTACGGTTGAGTGTTGCATGGTTTTCGAAAGACACGAGCACAAGCTGAGTGTTTAAAAAGTTCTGAATTTGAACCAAATAAGTGAAACATCCAATGTGATTTTCGCGATATACCAGTAGACACAACAACAAAAGCAACAATTGGATGTTTGTAGATGTAGATCGTCTGGGTTGGTGTCGTCCTTAGAAGGACTGCTGGTGCTAGTGTTAACTGACATTTCGACATCTTAAGCGGTGTACATGGCTATGAAGATAAACCTGGAAGATCTACATCGATAAACATGTAATGACTCTCCCGGGTTAAAACGATTCATTTTAAAGGCAGCAATGATATAGCTACCAGTAAAGTACGTACAATGGAAAATATGAAAGTTGTTTTTAAACGTCTTGAACATATTTTTGTTTAGTAACACTTTGTGTCTGTGTGTCACTTTCTCTACCAAATTATTACCCTAATATTTGTGTTTTTTATTGTTCGATGATTTCACCATAATTTACCCATATGCTTTGCTGTACTATTGTGTAACTGATGGTATGATATGCCACGACAGAGTATTGGTTCTTGATGTTCCTAAAGACACATAGTTAGAACGTTTGATCATAAGCAGTACAGATCAACAGACTGGGGAAAGGTGTGTGTAATCGCAAAGTTTTGTGATATTTTCCAGTTTTGTCAATATAATGAATATATACTCTTGCTTTGCATTGATGTATTTTTGGTTTTTCTCTGTATCGTGCATTTGTGTCATCAATTATTTTGATAGAATTGTGTTTGAAAGCAAATCGTTATAAGTTATAATTCTTCTTTTGAAAAATTTTGGT